AATGATTACACCAGTGCCATAATTACCTACTATGGTGGTAGTCTAGATTTTAGGGTTGATTAAAAAACGCACAAATTGAATAGGGAAGCAAGCTGTTATTACCAAGCATGTGTACGTTCGACAGAACTTACTCAATAAAATAGGATTTTCTAATTTTTAGAACCGAAATTCTATTAAAAGCTATACAAAATAGTAAGAGATATGAACACGTGTAAAATACATGGATTAATGTATTACTTAGTTGAGGCCTCTTACCAAACATCCTGCGAATGTAATAATTTTTAAAGTGAACTCCGTAGCTGTTGTTGCCGTTTTCTAAGAATGCATAATAAAAAGCAATGAAATAATAAAAAAAAAATTAGAATTTATTTCTCTGACCCACCTTTATTTAATTTCTTACAAATTTGAGGAACTCGAAGAAAGGCAATTACATAGGCTCTTTACTTTTCTCAAAGGTAGTGATTGTCGGATCTCTATAACTAGCTTCCCAAATAAATTTAAAAGAAAATAACTTTTCTACTTGATGTCCCCAAATTATAAACTGTTGCTTCACTTTTGTGAAAAACGACATATGGTATGTTAGCAGTGCAAAAACAAAAGCTATTTATAATATTTAAAAAACGTGCATTAATGCTTCATTATTCTTTAGGTCATAACATTATTAGATATTATGGCAATTTGATTAGATTTCTTCTACTTATAGACTTTCCTAGTTTATAAGGTTTTATTATAATTTTTTATTTAGTGGTTTCCTATGTCGACAGTGAATGTTTGCTGACATATATATAAATAAATACATATATACAAATTAGATGATGGTTTGAAATATGGGTAATAGATGAACAGACGAACAGGTATACGAATTCATCTGAATTTCTCAAGATCAGCCTTCAAAATCAAGTCTGCTCCTACTTTGGGCCTCTTTTTCTTAGGAAATAATTCAACATAATAAGTTTTGTGAGCACTTTTCTAGATATGCATAAGTAGTGTGCTTGATATTCAAAAAGGCAAACCAAGACCGGCATCAACTGCTTCACTGCCATCAAACAAATGAACAAACAAACAAGGCCTACGCCTATGCCATGTCCCTCGGACACCCCGGCCGACAACAATAGTGCTCTCAAAGTAAGTCTGTGTAATGACAAGACGCATGCAGATTGGCAAGTGAGCCTCGTCCTACAAGTTGCAAACACTTTTATTAAGCTGCTGAGCTCTTGTGTGTTAAAAGTCAATTTTCCAATTTGCAAACTGTCAGAAACATTCGAAAAGCAATTTGTGCGCCATGGCACACGGCGCACAAAGCGCAAAGCGCAAAGAGTCCAACATGCCAGGCCATTTGGTAAATGCTGATGCCAGAACGAAAGAGCAAGCGAACGAGAAAGCAGGAGAGATCAAGAGAGAGATAGAGAGGCAGAGAGCATTCAGGCACATACATACATACACAATACAGCAGCTGCACACCAAATTGCGTATACGCCGTGTTTGCTTTTGGGCGCACACCAAACGACCAAACGACACTTTGCGGCAGAAGTTTTCCAATAAAATGGCAAAACTTTGCTGCGAACAAAATTAAAGAAGACGACGGCAATGGCAACGACAACGACAACGTTGATGATGCCGCATTATATGAGGACTGCAACAGAGCAGTGAGCAGGAGAAGGCGCCCGCCATTTAACAGTGGGAGTGGACACTCGTTTTTGGGTTTACTTTTTCGGCAGTGGCGCCAACGTCGACGCGGACGCGGACGTTGACGACGACGCCGACGACGCAAATTGTTTGCTGCCAATGTGAAGTTTATGAAAAAGATTAAAGTTGAAAAGTGGTTGACGTTGCGGGAGAGCGGGGAAAGCGTTTGAGGCAAGGTGGGAGGCTTGCTGCCGCATGAAAACTACATACCGCAGGCGGCAAGCGTGAGGGAAGGAATGAAGCTAAATTGAAAATGGCTGAAATGGGGGTGTGCGTGTGTGTGTGTGTGTGTGTGTGTGTGTGTGTGGGTGGGTTTGAGTATGTGTTTGTGTTGCTGTTTGTATTTGTATTTGTGTGCATGGGGTGGAAAATTGTGTTTGGCGCTGCCACAGCACAGAGCACAGCATCAGGAGCCAAAGATGAAAGCAGACAATTTGCTGAGCGGGTGGTTAAGTGGGTGGCTGTGCGGATGGTTGTGTGTGTGGGCGTGCACCACCAGCACAGCGCGCGCCCTTAGAGTGCTTGTATGTGTGTGTGTGTTTGCTTTCATTATGGCGCGCCATGAATGGAAATTACAAAATTGATTTTGATGATTTAATTAAAATGAAGAAGCACAAACTCAAATTATAACAGTCAGCTGCAGAGACTGCCATCCACTCGATCTCGCATACATATAATATATATATATATACATATATGTATTTATGTGTATGTACATGCATACATATATACCTATTGCTATTGACATCGAGTGGCTGCCATTTGCTGAAATGTCAATATTCATTTAACGTTTGCGACTCCATCTCTCTTTCTCTCTGTCCCTCTCCTGCTTCCTCCCCTCACAGCTTTCGCTTGTTGCGCTCGTCTGTTGCCAGCTCGGGTGTTTATCCTTGTGATTTTTGTATGTGCTTGTAAGTATATGCACATGGATGTGGGTGGCCTCAAGCTTCTAACTGTTAGCTATTTTCGTACAGATTTGAGCGACAGGAAATTAGACTTTGAGACTTGCCGCTTCAGTTTGCTACTTGTGTGCGTGCCATCTAATTGCTTCTTTTATTTATATCCACATATGGTTTAATGCAATCAAATCGCACAGACAACAATGTGCAACCCAATTCTATACAATTGAGACACTAATAAAATTACTACGATATTCTGTCATCGCAGATTACTTTGCAATTGTCATTACAAAGCATAAAACTTGTTTAGTTTAGACTTGTGATTAGAATTACTTCAAGCCATTTATTTCAGAGGCTAAACATGCATAGTTGTCTTATGTACAGGTAGTATTTATGTATTCTCGATATAAACTCAGTTCTACCGAACTGGTTGACAGGTTTTGAATTGTTGTATGGCATGTTTGTCGAGATCTTGATTGTAAATGTTCAAATAAGTATATATGTATAAGTATAATAAGTATATGTATATACATATAACATATATATATATTATAAAAATATTATATTAATTATATTTCAATAGGGCTTTCAACATGTTCTCTACATTAATCTTCGAAAATCAATCGTTAGCAACAAAAAACTAATTGCGTTTTGTCAATGATTTATGCTGGGCATAAACCTTCCTACTTTCTCTCAACTCTATGTTCCTCCGTTCAGGTATTTCCTCTATTTTAGGGGCTATAATTAGAGCGATGTGATCACGTAAATGCAAAAACTGGATATGCAAATTGGTGCCATTTCTTGGCTAATGATCCAAAATGAGTAATTTATTAAGCCAGAATAGGATTGTTCAATTATCAATGCCAACCAGTGCAATCGCTCTAGTACAATACCATTTATGATGCCACTTCAAATTTAAGCTGACCAGTTCGGCGTGGGCTAGCGCTGTAAAATCATTTGACGCCATTCGTTCAGTAATTTAATCAAAACCGAATTTAAGGCCCAACACATACACACGCACCAATATAGACGGGCAAAAATTTGAAATGCAAATCACTTTTTCGTGCACAAATTGACAACGAAAATAATTTTACGCGCCATTATGTTTAATTAAACCGCCGCCCACAGAAAGGAGCACGCGATCTGGCATTTCAAAACCAGAGTCAATGCCAACACCTAATGTACACACACGCACACACGCACACACACACACCAACGCAACATGCACACAGAATTTGTTTGTACATAAGTATTTTGCAATGTGGCGCCAGCGGCTGACTAAAAAGAACAACCACAGCAGCTAACGAGCGAACGAGTGCGCGAGTGAGTGTGCGACAGAACCAGGACGCCATAATGGTAATGAAATTTCCATCAGAAATAATTTCTTATTAATTTGCTCAAATTGCATTTAATTACTTTGAGCGCAGCGGCAGCGACGCCGGCGGTGACGATGAGGATGAGGATGAGGATGACTTTGATGGTGTTGGGTTGGGGGCGTTGTGGAGACGACGACGTCAAAATGTGCCACCCACAGACGCAGACACACGCAGATACTCACACACACACACACACACATAGCCATCTACATGCTCACCATACATAGTGTTTGTCGTGCCTCTCACTTATTCTCTCACTCCATGTTCTCGAACTCTCTTGCTCGCATTTCCCACTAATTAGACAGACGCTCAGTGCTTTTGATTGCCCGGTGGTTGGCGAAGCCAGTCCAGACGAAAAGCTCCAACTGAGACACACACACACGCACAGATACACTCTGTTACACTCAAACACTCAATTCCGCTCTCATTGTTACGATAATTCTAATTAGTGCTACGTCACTAATTGAATTTTATTTCTGAGCGCTTAACGGCTTTGGCCACGTCAATAACATAGACGTTTTGTTGTTGTTGTGGTTGTTGCTGTTGCTTGTTGGGGTTGCTGCTGCGCCATTTTGTTTTATCTGTCGAGCTGTCTTTATGTTTGTGTGAGTGTTTGGTATTAACAATTTGCGTTAGCCGCCATTTTGTTTTGGGCTCGCCTTTTTGTCTTATTCTTGAAGGTTGTTGCTGGTGCGGCTTCTTCATCTTCTTCTTCAGCTTCTTCGCGTTTTCTTGCCTCGTCACAGCCACGTAATTAAGCTCATTCAGTTTTCTAATTACGTTTCATGGTCTTTGGGGCTGCTGGCTGCCAAGTGCTACACGTGCCTGTCTATTATCCGTGGTGTTACTCTTCTCTTGGTTGTTGTTGTTGTTGTTGTTGTTATTGTTGTTGTTGTTGCTGCTTAGACACATTTTACGCCTGATTAAATTAGCGTCTCGTTGAAGTGGTTCATTTAATTGCTTTCGCTCTTTTACTTTAAGCAAACTAATTACCTAAGACTAATGCGCCCTTTTTGCTATCTTCTTCTCTGTCTTCCAGGTGTGGTTTCAGAACCGTCGGGCCAAGTGGCGCCGCCAGGAGAAATCTGAAAGTCTACGACTTGGCTTAACCCATTTCACTCAGCTCCCACATCGTTTAGGCTGCGGTGGCTCCGGCCTGCCCGTGGATCCCTGGCTGTCGCCGCCCCTGCTCTCCGCTCTGCCAGGTAAGTGCCTGTATTTTAAGATAAATAATAGTTCGCTCAAATTCGAAAGAGGCACATAATAAAGTACTACTATTATAGTTAAAGCAAACAAAAATTACTCTATCCGCCATGTTCCCAACATAGCAAAAGCTAAAGATCGTTTTCAATTTTCTTTACTAATTTTATTGTTATTAATAAAAAAACTTAAATTAATGTGTTAATGAAAAAATATTTTGTGGCTGCTTCACATTAATTTCAAATTCAATTAAAACCTTTAAAAATATTACATTTTAATTTTAAAATATCTGAATAATAAAATGCATTTTAATTACCAATATTTCTTGAATCCCTGAGAAAATAAATTTTGGCAAATTCTGGCAACAGCTACATACATTTGTGTAGCACTGAAATGTTGAAAGTATAAGCTAAACTATAATTTTAGTAAACAAGACCTTCTGCAGAATAACTATAGCTAAGCAATTTTCCTTTTGGCAGGCTTTCTATCACATCCGCAAACCGTTTACCCCAGCTATCTGACACCACCTCTCAGCCTGGCGCCCGCAAATCTAACAATGAGCAGTCTTGCGGCCATGGGACATCATCATCATCATGCACCGCCACCACATGGGCCGCCGCATAACGGACCGCTGGCACCACCACCGTCTGCAGCTTCTCATGGGATGGGAGCAACCCCACCGCAGGCTCCACCACCGCACGGGGCTCTGCCTTCGCATGGCCCGCATCCACATCATGTGGTGCCGCTCTCACATCTCTCACCGCATCTGTCACGCATGTCGCCGCAAAGTTTGGCCACAATGTCCGCCCAGTTAAATGCAGCCGTTGCCGCCACAACAGCAACAACAACAACATCAAACGTCACTTCATCTCTATCGCCACATCATCATAGCGTTGTGGCAGCTTTAACGCCACTGACGCCAACTCAGCCCACTCCCACCGGCCACAGCAATATGCCGTCCACAATTACAACTGCAACAGCACCGGGAGCAGCAACAAATACGTCCTCAGCATCTTCCTGTTCAATGGAGGGCAGTGCTACGGATGTTTGCATGTCACCACAAAATCTGAGCATTTCCAATGCCGACTCAAATGGTGCGCTGGATGGACGCGATTGTCAGGATATGGGGGATGTGGACAGCAGCCTGGACAAGTGCGCGGCTAACGCGAATAACGAAGTGCTCGATGTGGGCAGGGAAAGTCCACCCCCTCCCTCCACACTGACCAGTCTAAGCATTAAGCGCACACCACCACCAACCGCACCGCCGTCCACGGATATGCGCAGCAATTCGATTGCCACGCTGCGCATCAAGGCAAAGGAGCACCTCGATAACATCAACAAAGGTCTAGTCTCAATGGTCTAGGTAGAGCGATGGAGAATAGGCAAGACTTGTACCAAGAGTTCCTGCAAATTGTATATCATATAAGTAATCGTTTAGTCTATCCCAGACCCAACCTCTGACCGCTCCACAGTTATGCGTATGCGCAATAATCTAATTAGCCTTAGATGGTCTATTTCGCACCTCAAGTTTGGCTCAGAATTAGCGTTTCATCGCGAGCGATATTTCTTCAATCAAAACTGTACTTTTCTAGCTTGTAAGTTACATATTAGTTTAGTTAATTCGTCGTTTATAATAGCCCCGATCAGACGACTTAGTGCTGTTGTATGCCCAACCCAGTGCGCAGATAATGTTTTCTATCCTTTATATAATGTATATTAGTTATTTCCATGTAGAAATATAACGCAACATCTATGACTAGCACTAAAGTAAATAAATATACAAGTTTTAGCTCAACATGTCTGCAACTTGGCAGTTTTATTATTTTACAGGACACATCAGATCAGAGCTTAGTCTGAAACTTCAACTGGACTTTGTAATAAGAGCAATGGAAACAAACATTCGCTTTAGTTACTGTGCAAGCGAAATTTTTCCAACATTAAAACTTTTCGACATTTTGTTCAGCAAATACTATTGTATTTTTAATATTTATCGCTTTTGATATTACAGCTAATAGTATTGTGCAATTGCATTTGCAGTGATATTTGGTCGATTAATCTGTTTGTTTTCTAAACACAAGTACACATAGTCAAATAATTAGTTGCTGTACATGCTGTAAATGGGCAATAATTATACAAATTTATCAGAACCAACAATCGCCTGTCACAGCGTCCTTAATAACTAAATTAATTGGACGCCCATAGAGAATACACCCCCCTGACAAGCGCCATAAGATTATGATTGCGACTAAAGACAAGAAGAAATTGAACGAGCGCGACAAGGTAAAAAAGAAAACTTAATGCATGTATGACAACCTGCAATTAAATGCTATTAAAAAGAACTAAATGCATAACGCACTACAATTGTCTAATTGTCCAAAGGAAGTGACAAGGTATACTATGTGTATTTAATTTGCGTGGGGGATGAAAAGACGGAAAATAATTGGGAATAGCTGCAGTTGCCTGAAATAAAAATATGATAAAAATTATAATTGAATAAGAACGTGATTTATATAGAGGATAAACATGAAAACAATAGTTTGCTTAAGCACACTGTGCACTTTTCAAAAATCGTTTACCACATATTTGTATTTATATATAGTATAAAAATTTATTTATTTTCGTACAATTCTGTCATTTAATCAACGGACTATATCGTTCGCATGATGATGTCATTCCTTCATTCAAGGTGGTGACAGTGGCGCACCTAGCGGGAAATTCAATAGTCACTGCTTGGCAAGCAGTTCTATTTGTTTTTCATTGTAGTCCAAGTGGCGCTTTTTTTAAATAGTCGCCAAGGCTGTGAAAATTTAAGCAACAGTAAAATCAATTTCAATATAAAATTTTATAAATTCTCTAATATACGGTCCTGTTTAGCTTTATGTTTTATATGCAAGTACATATAATGTTTATAAAACGCGATAATTAAATTTCAAACAACAACTTTTACTCACCTTTTTCAAGTCCTACCTTTTCTTAGAACAATGTATTTTATTCATCTATATTCTATTTTATAATCATATCGTGCGGCTGCAATATTGCACAACGGTGTGTCTCTCTTTAATTTTGATGTAACTAACAAGCTGAACATGCCTATAATGTCTTCATAATGAATAGCAATCATTTCCAAAACGAAACCGCATTCCCCTACTAAATTGAAAAGAGAAAACCAAAACGCTGTGAACGCCCATGGTTTCTCCACTCATCCAAAATGAATACAAATCACCTACAATCAGCTTTTTATTCCATCCATTCCAGCTTTTTATTCCATCGCCAACAATTTGCATATATCGCCTAGCAGCAAAGTCATTTGCAAAGCTACCCACGAAAATTATTTACCAACAATAAACAAATATTATCGTAACTCTAAAATTTTGTAGTGCTATACACATTTTAAGTAATAACCAACTGTGTATTTAAAAAGAAAAGATATGGTATCTCATTTTTTGCTTATCACAGATTACTTTCATTTTTGTATGTCTTTGGCGAATTAGAAGTACATTTAAGAGCTAGTTGCGCGCAGGGAAACGTCAGTATATTTTTTATATTCCAAAGTGTACGTTATTCATTTACATTTGAAGAAAGATGCCGGTTGCTGCCTTTCAAATCCCTACGGAATACGATGCGGTGCAAAAAATGTGGTATACCCAAAACAAAACCATGTTTGGATATCCTTCCAACACAAGTATCGGCGAAATTGTATTTCAAGCTTTACAAAAAGATCCAGAGAAAGTTGCGCAGGTAAGTAACTGCTTATAAAAATCATCGTTCAAGCCTTATATAAGTAGCTTCATTCCAGATATCCGATTCAGAGCAGACTACGCTAACAAAAAAAGAGTTATTGCTGAATGCGATTCGTATTGCCACTTATTTACGCAATGCTGGGATAAGGCAAGACGACATCGTTGGAATCGTAGCTCAGAATACGACGCACCTGTCAGCACTTACCTTTGCATTGTTCTTCAATGGTATTGCTTACCATTCACTTAACCCTGCCTTAGAAGAAGGTGAGAATAGTAGTGATCTGCAAAAGATGTTTCTAAATATTTCTCTTCTCGCTACAGCCACATTCCAAAAACTTTTAGACATCACCAACCCAAAGATCGTTTTTTGTAATGCAGAAAACTATGACCTATTGGTCCGAACAAGCCGTAAAGCCAAAATTATAATAATGAAACCAGAGTTATCCGGCGTTACGAGCATGGAAGATATACTTCAAACACCCATTGATCTAAACAGTTTTAGGTAATGTTCTTCTTCAAAAAGAATTGCTTTGATATGCATTGTGCTTTATTTCAGGCCTTTAAAACTCCAGCATGGGGTATCGCAAACATTGGCTATTGTAAGTAGTTCTGGTACAACTGGCATACCAAAAGCTGTAACCATTAGTAACACCCATAAATTGTTTGAAACACTGTAAGTATTGGACTAATATTGTAAACATGGTTTCCTAATTTGAATTTTCTCAGTGATGTTTTGCCTAGCGATATCCAATATACTCCCAGCACGCTCGACTGGATCTCTAGCTTAATAACTCTCTTAACATCAGTGGTGGTGGGCACAACACGGATCATTTCTGAACGTACTTTCGATCCGCTCCATCTAATAGAATTAGTCCAAAAATACCAAATCACTTGGCTTTTCCACTCGCCCTCGCATATCAACATGCTTCTTAGTTGCTCCCAAATTGCGCCCCACAAACTCGACTCTGTACGTCTAGTGCTTGTTGGAGGTGGCAATAGTAATGTAAGCACTCTTCAGAAACTTCAAACCCAACTGCGTCACGGCATTCCTGTCATTATCTACGGTCTAACCGAGGCAGGATCAGCTATAACCGTTAATAGCAACGCACTTGTGAAGCGCGGTTCTGTTGGATGCCTCGTACCAGGCTTTCGCGTCAAGATCATCAACGAGGATGGTTCCGCTTTGGGACCCGGGGAACAAGGGGAAATATGCTTCAATAATGGACAACCCTGGGCAGGCTATGTAGGTAACCCAGAGGAAACAATGCGAGTGCGGGATGATGAAGGGTGGATACACACAGGTGACATTGGCTACATGGACAGCGATCACTATTTATATATTGTTGATCGCAAAAAAGATTTGCTTATGTACCGAGGCATGAAATATTATCCCCAAGAGATCGAACAAATCATTGCAGAGATTCCAGCTGTGAGTGAGGTTTGCGTTTTCGGCATTTGGAGTGAACTCGAAAGTGATGCAGCTGCAGCAGCCGTTGTTAAAAATCAAAACTCCCAGCTAAGTGCCAGCGAAATTTTAGACTTTGTAAAGTCAAAAATCAGTGTGAAGTACAAGCACCTGAATGGTGGGGTCTTCATAGTAAATGAATTGCAAAAATTACCGAATGGCAAACTTAATCGTCGGGCCATAAAGGAGGCATGTTTACGAACACAACAAATAAATTTGTATACATGATACAGTTATTCAGAATAACTATCCATACAAGAATTATTCGGTTTCTACCTACTTGTATGTATCTTCAAATTAACTCGTATCATAAAAATCACGCAGTGCCTGCAGAGCTTTTAAAATAAATATAAATACAAAAATATTGAAAGAATTTACGTGAAATAAATATTTAGAATGAACTAGAAATCATGGTATGACAATCTGCAATTAAATGCCATTACAAAGAACTAAATGCATAATTAATTATAATTGAATAACGTGGGAAATTAAAGCCTCTTTCTCTACTCTTATATGATTTATATTCTAGCGAAATATGAAAACAATAGTCTGCTTAAGCACACTGTGCACTTTTCAAAAATCTCTTGTCACATATTTGTATTTATTTATAAGCTTTTATTTATTTCCGTAACATCCCGGCTTTTTCATCAACGGACTATTCAAACGAGGACAGTGGCGCCACTAGCGAGAAATTCAATATGCACTGTTTGGCAAGCAGTCCCATTTTACATTTATGTACTGTAGTCCAATAAGTGGCGCCTTTGCTTATTCCTACGCAGCACTAACGATTTTAAATTGACGCCGTCTGTTACAATATAGCAACAGTATACATATATTTAATAGCAAATATACGGTCCTGTTGAGCAATAATTAAATTCAAACAATAACTTTTAAAATGTGATCAGAAGCGGCATATGCAGAACTGTTAAGGGATTATTAATGTTATTTGAGTTTTTGTAGATATTATTTTGTAATCTTAGTGTAAAGCTGCAATATTTCAAATAAGATGTATCGCTCATTAATTTTGTCGTAACAACCATAAAATGCTTATGATGTCTTAAGAAACCATCTCCAAAAGGAAACCGGATTCACATACTGAATTGAATAGTGAATAGACTCGTCAAAATTAATAAAAATTACCAACAATTAAGCAGAAGTTGTGATTCAATCGCCGACAATTTGCAGATATCGCCTAACCGCAAAGTCGGCATAGCGTCATATCTCCGACGACATATCTCCGCCGCACTGAAAGCGACATATCTCCGCGCGGAGTTATGTCGTTTAAAAACGTCATATCTCCGCGCGGAGTTATGACGCTCGAAAACGACATAACTCCGCGCGGAGATATGTCGTTTTTACTTCGGCGGAGATATGTCGTTTGCAAGCGTCATATCTCCGCGCGGAGTTATGTCGTTTTGAAACGACATATCTCCGCCGAACTAAAAACGACATATCTCCGCCGAAGTAAAAACATATAACTCTATACATGTGTACATTAGAGCTGGAAAAAACATCGATATCAACATCGATATATCGATGTTTTGGCAATATCGAAAACATCGATGTTTTAGTTGCCAATATCGATAATCGGGTACTTTTTGAAAATTCGAAAGCGAAAAGCAGGATGAAATATTTTAGTCCCAGTTTTCTTTATTTATTAATTGAATTTTAATAATTTTTTTATTAATGTAATAGTTTTGGAAGTAGTGGTGTTGACAGTGAACGTGGATGCAAACTATGTATACATATCTGTAAAGTAAACTTGAAGTGCATATATGTATGTATATATTTAAGAAATGAACACGTGCTTCCAAATTAAGGTAATGATTGTCTGATATGCATTGAAACTTCTATAAGTGTTTCCCGTTTTATAGTTACATGAGGGACAACTGTGTGAGAAGCCATCTTTTGTTTGGCAATCAGTGATTCATTGAATTCTGTAGCCAGGCAGATCGTGGCCGTGCCTGCCAAATAATGTGCCTCTGAACGCACTTTTAGCAAAGCTGGCCAAAAATTTAACAAAAGTAGGAGATTTAAAAAAAGTACAATCGTAAATAAATGGTTATTTTTGAGCAAAAATATTGATCTAACAAATAAAGGCTAAATAAAACAAATAGAGAAGCTAAAGTCGGGTGTCCCGACATTGAAATACTCTGTACATATGTGTAGAATAGTTATGCGTGTATGTTTGTGTGTGTCTGTGTATGTCTCGTGCTGCGGGCAGTACTTGCCCTGAGATTATATATATGGCTATAACTTCTTGTTAGATCACGATGCTGGTGAACATCGATGTTTTTACAGCTCTAGTGTACATCTCTATATATATAAAACAGTTTGTCCTGACTGACTGACTGACTGACTGACTGACTGATTGGCAATCAACGCACAGCCCAAACGGTAAGAGCTAGGAAGCTGAAATTTGAACACAAGATCCCTCTTATAGTGAAAGTGAGCACTAAGAAGGGGTTTCGGAAAATTCGAGCTCCAAAGGGGGGAAAACGAGCTCCAACGTTTGTATGAAAAATCTACAATTTTTATCCGATTAACTTCAAACTTAGTTTGTATATTCTCAAAAAGAATACAAAAAAAACTGTATACTTGGATTTTCAATATTTTTCCTGCGGCCTGAATAATAATGATTTTCCGGTGGAAAATTCGGTAAACGAAAAGCTATGTGCAATCAACGCACAGCCCAAACGGTAAGAGCTAAGAGGCTGAAAATTGGACACATGTTGTCTTCAGTGGTGTAGGTGAGCACTAAGAAGCGGTTTTGGAAAATTCGATCGCCAAAGGGGGGAAAACAGGCTCCAACGTTTGTATGAAAAATCTACAATTTTCGTCCAATTAACTTCAAACTTAGTTTGTATACTCTCAAAAAGAATACAAGAAAAACTGTATACTTGGTTTTTCACCATTTTTCCTGGGGCATGAAAAAAGGGGGGTTTTCCGTGGAAAAATTGAAACACAATCAACACCCCACAGCCCAAACGGTAAAAGCTAGGAAACTGAAATTTGGGCTCAAGTATCCTATCATGGTGTAGATGCGCACTAAGAAGAAAATTCGAGCTCCAAAGGGGGGAAAAGTAGCTCCAAAGTTTGTTTGAAAATTCTGCATTTTTGAATCGATCAACTTTAAATTTAGGTTTTATAATCTATAAAAGAATACAAACAAAACTGCATACTCGGTTTTTCAAAATTTGTGTTGGAGCTTGAATTATTGGGGTTTTAATATTTATTCATTTTTTCAAATGAAAAGTTTGTGTTATAAATTTTGTCAGATCGATTTCAAATTTGGGTAATATAATCTACGTAACTAAAATTACAACTTTGCATTTAACGATTTTTAAAATATGCATTTTACAAATGCAGGTAGAACAAACAATACAAAATATCAAACAGTTGGGGACAACTAAGTATACATACACACACACACACACATACATACATACAAGCAGCTGTTCGTGTAGTTGCGTGTAAACGGTTGAAGTAGCCAAAGCAAAATGTGAGACACTAATGTGTGAATGTTCATTTGTACACATGTATGTACATACATACATACATATGTATGTACAAAAGTACATTCGTCTTGCACTGACAGGGCAAGAAATGTTAATTAATTAAAAATTATTAACATTATAACATAAACATTTTTATGCTTTTTTTTCTTTGTTTAGTACATTTGGCATAAGGAGTTTTTAGGACAACGGACTACAAGGGCGTACGCAGGTTGGGCAGGGGGGACATTTCTCCCCTTAGAAAGAATTTCGCATTATGAATTACGCCAGCACCATATGTATTACATACGTACATACGTCTGTATGTATAGCATGTACATATGTATGTATGTACATCAATAAGTATGTATGTACGTTCATACATTCCTATATACATATATAGGTTTGTATGTACAAGTATGCAGTGGGCTATCGAACACTGTTGTTTAATTGTAAAAAATAGTTTTCTATGGTTTCAAATAAAAATTTTTAAAACAACAACAACTTCAAGTTATTGGCTCGCAGATCTTCTTTCGTTTTGATCATTTACGCCTGTTCATTTTTTTTTTTTTTTTTATTTCCTTTGTACTCCACTTGGGAGCTTAGGGCTACTACAAGGACATTTTTTTTTTCCAATCTTAACATTCTAACTTCTAGCCGTCTGTCTGGCTGTGTCCCATGTGGTGTTGTTGTTTCTGGGAGAATTCCTGATGCATCCGCTGCCAGGTTGCCGTCTTTTTTAGGTCTGCCGATCCCGTCTGCTTCCTTGGGGGTTCCAGCGCCATCCTTGACATCAAACATCGAAGTAGTGGGAGTCCTGTTCATTACATACGCAAAATGCCAAAAGTTTACAGTTACAGTACACATACAAATAAATTTGTATGTATGTATGTGTACAGTGTACAATCGAATACAGTATTATAATCAATAACTCTCAAACGATGTTTTTCGATGTATTTGTATTCGACATGTATTACGATATATCAACACAAGTATCGATATTTTCGATATATCGCATTTAATTTTATTATTGGGGTTTTAATATTTATTCACTTTTTCAAATGAATAGTTTGTGTTATAAATTTTGTCCGATCGATTTCAAATTTGGGTAATGTAATCAACATAACTATATCAACAAATTGGCATTCAACGATTAAAATATAGCAATATGTTTTTTACTTGCCATATATCAAATATCAAATAGTTGGGAACAGTTCGTGTCTATGTGTGCCCATGCATACATACATATGTACAAGCATATGTATCTATGCCTGTATATGTATGAAGCATGTAAATACAAAACAACAACAACAACTTCAAGTTGTTGGCTCGCTCATCTTCTTTCGTTTTGACCATTTAATGTTAATTGCAAAGGCAAAACGCCAAAAGTTTACAGTTACCGTCGCTAAGCAACGACTGCGTATGCGATAGTAAAGCAGAAACCGAATAACGGAGCTACGCATATTCTGCTTCGCATTGCGGGCAGATGTATGTATGTATATGATTTGTTCTTATCGATCTCAATAAATAATTAGATTTTATTATTTAAATATTCTGCTTTTTCCATTCAAACTTCGATATTTTTATGCTATCGGTGGCTTCAACTATCGAAAGTCTTACTCTAGCAAATTGAGATGAGAATTGTCAGTGCTTTTTGATCGTGGCTCATCGCTGCACGGCATTGACACGTGTGCCGTGTTTCATATTCCGAGTTTGTGCGTGACCGTATTGACT